CTACCTGGATGCGTTCGTGAAGCACTGGGTCGGTGGAAAGATCGGCGGTCCCGAACTCGTCTCCGCGGTGCGCGCGGTCGGCGCCGACGCGAGCGCGCGGTGGCGCGAAACCTATGGAATTGAAGCGCCACAGTTCTCCTCGGCAGCTCGCGGCGGCGCAACGCCTTTGGACAGAACGGGAGAGGATGCGACGAAGGCATCGAACGAATGTTTGGGGGCCGCGTACGGAGGTCAGTCGGGGCTTTTCTCCGGCCTGAATGCTTCGGCGGAAGCCAGGCAAAAGCAGTTCGAAGCGATGCAAAACCTTGCTCCTGGGTTCGACGCCGCATCCGCCTCCGTCACCATCGCGCCGCTGCGGGCGGACCTCATGGTCTGCGCCGCCTGCGGGAAGCTCAAGTCCAAGGCCTGCCCCCTGAAGCTCTGCGCGCGCTGCTCGGCCGTGGCCTACTGCTCGACGGCGTGCCAGCGCCAGGGCTGGAAGCAGCACAAGAAGGCCTGCGTCGCGCCCATCCGCGAGTAATTTTCACTGCATTAGTCAAGACGGCGACTCGGCGTCCGGGTCCGCGCGCTTGTCGAAGACGAAGTTGTCGCCCTCGAAGAGCGAGTCGCCGCCCTCGCCGTCGCGCCAGCGCTCGTAGCCGACGATGCCCTGGTCGAGGCGCTTGACGTGCTCGAAGCCCAGCTTCTGCTTCACGTAGGCGCCCGCCTTGACGCAGCGGATGCCGCCCGTGCAGAACATGTAGACGGGCTCGTCCTTGGGCTTGTCCGCGAGCGCCGCGTCGAGCTTGGGCCAGGTCTCGACGAAGGTCGCCGTGTCGAGGGGCGTCGCGCCCGCGAAGGTGCCCGCGGCCGTCTCGTAGGCGTTGCGCACGTCTAGGAGCGTCGCGTCGGCGCCTCTCAACGCGGCGTCCCACGCCGCCGCCCCGAGCGCCTCGCCGCAGTCGTCCCAGTCCAGCGGCTCGTCGAAGCCGTCGACGAGCGCGCGCTTCTTCGCTTTGACGAGGAGCCGGTGGAACGGCGCGCCGTCGACGGGCTCGACGTCCCAGTTCAGGCACGCCGACGCGGCGCCGACGGTCGGCCAGAGCTCCGGCGCGCCGCCGTGGAGCGCCTCCGCGAGGCCGTCGCGGCCGTCGGCGACGGCGAGCGCGCCGTTGAAGCCCTCCGCGGCGACGGAGACCGTGCCGACCACGTCGCCCTCGGCCTCGAGCCGCGCGCGGAGCCGCGCGGCGACGGCCGGCGGCTCGGCCACGGGCGCGAAGCCGTAGAACGTCGCCACGCGGCAGGCGACGCCGTCGCCGCCGGGCGCCGCCCGCCGCAGGGCGTTGAGCTCCTTGCGCACGGCGCGCGCCGCCACCTTATCGCGGGCCTCGACGAGCCGCGCGTGCTCGCCCTCGAGGCGCCTCAGCAACTTGAGGCGCCGCGCGGCGGCCGGCAGCGCCGAGAGCGCGCGCGCGCGGCCGACGAGGAGCGAGAGGAGGAGCGGGGCGCGCATGGCTGGGCGCCGCGAAGGTCGCCGGACGACGCCTATCGTTTGCGAATGCTTCAACATCAAGTCGTGAAATGACATGGAACCATGAGTGCCGGGCAGCCTCGGCATCGCGACAGTCGTTTCCACCTCCAAATCCCGGTCCGGCGTCCATCGTCGTCGTCGCGGGCGGCTTCTGCCAGTCGTCGCGGGCGGCGGGCTGCCCGGCAGTAGCGTCGTCGTCGCGGGCTGCGGGCTGCCCGGCGGCTGGCACAGAGCAGCCATGGGCAACCAGCCCATGCGCCCCAAGCCGCCGCACGCGGCGGCGCTCCGCGCGCGCGTCGACGAGAGCTGCGAGACCGCGGCGGAGGCGATTCTGGACGCCGACGTGCTGCTCCTCGCGACGGGCGCGGGCTGGTCCGCGGACAGCGGCCTGGCCGTCTACCGCGACATCGCGAAGATCGAAGCCTACGCGGAGCGGGACCTCGACTACCGCGACATGTGCAAGCCCTCCTGGCTCGCGGAGGCGCCGGAGCTGTTCTGGGGCTTCTGGGGCTCGTGCTTCAACGACTACCGGTCGACGGCCCCCCACGGCGGCTACGGCATCGTGCGCGGCTGGCGCGACGGCCTCTTCGCGCGGAGCGAACTCGCGAAGACGATTCGGGACCGCGTGCGCCGGGAAGAACTCATCCCGTCGCTCGAGGACCTGAAGATCGAGGAGGAGGCCAACGCGCCGTCGCCGCCGCCGGGCGCCTTCTTCGTCTACACGTCGAACGTCGACGCCCACTCCTACGACGCCTTCGACGCCGGCGAGATCCGCGAGTGCCACGGCAACGTCGAGCTCTACCAGTGCGGCGCGGCGCCCCGGCCCTGCGCGCGCCGGGCCTGGCGCGCGCCGCGGGACCACGCCTTCGCCGTCGACGCCGCGACCATGCTCGCGCCCCGACACGCGACGGGCGCGGGCGAACCGGCCGCGGAGGAGAAAGCCGCGGTCGACGACGTGCCCAAGGTCGGCGCGACGGCCGGCGCCGCGCGCGACGCGGCGTCGCTGCTCCGCTGCATGCCCGCGGAATCCTGCGACCGGGAAGCGTCCTTCGCGACGAACTGGCCGACGTGCCCGGCGTGCGGGGGTCCCGCGCGGCCCGCGGTGCTCATGTTCGAGGACTGCGCGTGGGTCGACAGCGCGGCCCAGGACCGCCGCTACCGCGAGTGGGTGCTCGCCGTGCGGTCCGCGGCGACGGAGCTCGACCGCCCGCTCAAGGTGGCGATCCTGGAGGTCGGCGCGGGCGGCAACGTGACGACGGTGCGCTGCGAGTCCGAGCACGTCTTCCGCGGCGCGGACAACGTCGAGACGACGCTCATCCGCGTGAACCCGGAGCTGCCCCTGCCCGACGGCGACCCGGAGAAGCTCCACGCCGGCGACGTCGCCGTCGTCTCGGTCATGTGCCGGGGCCTCGAGGCCGTCGAGAAGATCGACGCGGCGCTCAAGGACCGGCGGCCCGACCTCTTCGACCGGGGCGCCTTCGAGGAGCTCCCCTAGCTTCATTAGACGAGGACCTGGTCGTCGAGCTTGAAGCGCAGGTAGGCGACCTTGCCGCCGAGGTCGACGCGCTCCACGAGCATGAACCCCGCCTGCTTGATCGAGTCCCAGAGCCAGGACGACACGTCGCGGAACCGCGCCTCCTCGATGAGGACGAGGTCCGCGAGCTCGCCGGCGACCTTGCCCGCGGAGACGCAGGTCTTGAGCGTCGCGATCAACTTCGCGTGCGATCCGGGATCGTAGCCGACGTCCGCTCCTAAGACGATCGTCGGGTTGAACGCCGTCGCGACGGCCGTCGCCGCGGCCTCGTCGCCCCACTCGAGGAGCGCCGTCGAGCAGCGCGGCCGGTGCGCGTCGCCGAAGTTCGCCGCCGCGGCGTCGAGGCACCGGGGCTGGCCGTCGGTCAGGAGCACCGTCGCGGCGCCGTAGCGCTCCGCGACCGCGATGCCGGCGACGCCGCAGCCGCAGCCGACCTCGAGCACGCGGCAGTCCGGCGGCAGGAAGACGAGGTGCTCGAGGAGCGCCGCCGCGAACTTGCAGCCGCCGTTCCACGCGGCGGAGCCGGACGTGTCGACGCCGTCGCGCTCCGGCGGCGGCGCGGCGCCCGCGATGGTCGACAGCTCGAGGTTGCCCACGGTGATGCGGCCCGCGGCCACGGGCATGAGCGGGTTCGCGGGCGCCGGCGGGCCGCCCTCGACCTTGCGCTGCATGACGATCTGCTCCGCCATGGTCGCGTGCGGCGCGGCGCGGTGTCGAGTGAGCGGTGCGGCTTTTTGTGCGTTGAGTGCTCTAGGCGCGGCTCGGTGCGGCGACGCTGGCTGTCACGTTGCGCGCGCGTCCGCTCGCGCGCTCGCACGACGATCGACGACGACGCTGGCGGCGAGGCAGTCGGTCCACTGCCAGTCGAGCAGCTCAAACAAACCAAAAACACCACCCGCCTCGTCGCGCGCACGCCGCCCGCAAGCGCCGTCAAACGCGACAACTGGTCGCCTGCACGCTCGCGACACCTCTCCTGTACCCGCGCGTCAAGGGACGCGAGCGCGGCGAGTTTTTCCGGGCGCGCAAGCCGGTGGCAACCTCATCAACTGTCAGTCTCTAACGATGCCGCGCGAGGCCGTCGAGGCGCGCCAGAAGGCGCTGGAGGAGAAGCGGCGGCGCATCGAGGCGCTCAAGGCGCAAAAGGCCGAGCGCGCCAAGGCGGCGACGGCCCAGGCGAGCGCGGCGACGAAGTCGTTCAAGGCCGAGAGCCTGCGGACGTACGTCGACGGCCTGCTCGCGACGGCGCCGCCGGCCGACGCGCCGCCGCCGCCGCCGGCGACGCCGACGCCGCGGGCGCCCGAGGACGTGCCGCTGCCGCCGCCGCCGTCGCCGTCGCCCGTCGTCGCGCGGTCCGCGGCCGCGAGCCCGCCGCGCGCCCGTTCCGCGCCGTCGCTGAGCCAGGGCACGCAGACGGAGGCGCCGCCCGACGCCGACGGCGCCGAGGCCGCCGCCGCCGAAGCCGCGTCGGGCCGCCTCGCCGCCGCCGCGGAGGCGCGCGCGAAGGCGCACGCCGTCTCCGACGAAACGGCCAAGGCGACCGCGGCGCTCGGCGACGCGGAATCGAAGGCCAACGTCGTCGACGAGGCGCTCGTGATGGCCTCCCTCGCCAAGACGTCCCGCCTCGTGGAGCGCTGCTTAGGCGAGCGGCGCGTCTTCGACGCTTTGGCCGTCGCGGACGTCGCGGACGCGTCGGCCGCGCGCGACGGCCGCGCCGCGGCGTTCGCCGACGAGCCTTTGGCGGTCTTCTCCGCGCCGGAGGCGGGCCTCTGCCTCACGGGCGTCTGCTGGGCGCCCCACGCGCCGGACCTCCTGGCCTGCGCCTACGCGAAGCCCGCGGGGGGCACCGTCGACGGCTACGACGGCGCGGTCCGGCTCTGGTCGCACGCGCGCCACGCGACGCCTGACGCGACGTTCGCGTGCCAGTCGCCCGTGACCTGCGTCGCCTTCGACGAGGCGAACCCGAGTTTAGTACTCGGGGGCACCTACTCGGGCCAGGTCGTTTTGTGGGACGTCCGGTCGCCGTCGACCTTACCGACGATGCGGTCGCCGCTCGACGCCGCCGCGCCGCACGGCCGGCCCGTCGCCAAGCTCCGCGCGCGCGGCGACGCCGTGCTGACCGTGTCCGCCGACGGCGCCGTCTGCTACTGGTCGTCGTCCCAGCTCCAGCGGCCCATCGAGGCCCACGCGCTCAAGTGCGGGTCCGCCACCGTCGCGGCGTCCGCCGTCGACTTCGCGGATCCCGCCGTCGACGACCGCGACGTTTACGTCGGCTGCGAGGAGGGCAAGGTCTACCGGGCGAAGTGCGGCGGCGGCGACGAGGGCGGCGCGGGCCGATGCCGCGCGCTCGACGACCGGGGCGCGCCCCACGTGGGCCTGGTCACCGCCGTCGCCGCGCACCCGGCGAGTCGCCGCGACGACGCGCGGCGCGCCGACGCGCTGGGCCTGCGCCGGGGCCTGGTGGCGTCGTCGTCCGTCGACTGGACGGCGAAGCTCTGGTGCGGCGGGGCGCTGCTGGCGTCGCTGGACCACGGGAACCACGCGTACGTCACCGACGCGTGCTGGGCGCCGAAACGCGCCGCCCTCCTCGCGACGGCGTCCTCCTCCGGCGACGTCGCCGTCTGGTCCGCGGCGGCGACGCGCGGCGGCGGCCGCGTCGCGCCCGCGCGCGCCGTGTCCGACGGCCCGCTCACGGCCCTCGCCTTCGCGGACGACTCCCGGCGCCTCGCCGTCGGCGACGCCTACGGCGCCGCGACGGTCCTCGCGCTCGCGCCGGACCTCGTCGCCCCCGACGCCGCCGAGGACGCGCGCCTCGACGAGGTCCTCGCGGCCCTGCAGCCGCGCGCCTCGTCCTAAGAGAAGCAAGCAAGGGCCGTTTCTTAGGCGAGGCAGAGCCGGGAGCCGCAGTCCGGGTCCTCCGAGTCGTCGGCGGCGAGCTCCGCGAGGAGCGCCGCGCGCTGCGAGCCTCGTCGCCGCCGCGGCGGCGCGCCGAGATCGCCCTGGAGGTCCTCGAGGTCCCGCGCGAGGCGGTCCCGCCGCGCGCGCCACGCGTCGCCCGCCGCGGAGCCGGCGCCGAGGCGCGCCGCGGCCGCGTCCGCCTCCTCGAGGCGCGCCAGCAGGTCGCGCTCCGCGTCCGCCGGCGGCGCGACCGCCGGCGCGACCGCCGGCGGCGGCGGCCGCGGCGCGGCGAGGGGGGTGCCCCGCGGCGGCGGCGGCCGGAAGGGGCTGCCCGGCGGCAGCGGCGCCGCGGCGTAGACGCTCCCGCGCTTCTTGGACTCGTCGCCGCCGGACGTGAGCGCGTCGACGAGGTCGCGGTTCCGCTTGTAGACCGTCGCGAGCGACGCGCGCTCCTCGTGGTGCGCGCGGCGCTCGACGCGCGCGGCGCGGACGTCGCGCCCGAGCTTCACCAAGGCCCAGAAGACGCGCGCGTAGAGCAGCGGCGTCGTCGCCGCCGGGTGCCGCGCGCAGACCTCGAAGATGTCGGCGCGCCGGATCGTCGCGACCTCGCAGAACTTGAGGACGACGGCCATGGGCGGCGGCTCGTCGTCGGAGACCAGAAAGTCGAAGAAAAGCGCGTCGCCGATCATCTTGAGGCGCCCCTTCGTGCCGATGAAGCCGTGGTTCGTGATGATCATGAGCGTCTTCTGCACGTTGACGATCTCCTCTGGCGCGAAGAGCAGGTGCCCGAGCGTCTTGAAGATCTCCAGTTTCACGATCGCGTCGAGCTTCGTGAAGTAGGGCACGACGTTCAGCAGCACCACAAACACGTTCTCGGCCACGGACTCCTGCAGCCCGGGGCTCAGCAGCTCCACGAGGTCGCCGTAGTGCTCGCGGCGCTGCACGTTCGCGGACCCTAACAGGTACTCGCGCGCCTCGCGCCGGAGCGGCGTGCACACCTGCAAATCCACCAACATGCGATTGATCTGGTCGTAGCGCTGATTATACGTAATATGGTCGCTGTCGAGCGTCGCCACGGTCTGCGTGATCGCCGCGATGATCAAAGACCAGAGCATGCCCCCGAATAGAATCATGAGCGTCGCGACGGAGCGCTCCGCGACGTTCTTCGGCAGCACGTCCCCGTAGCCCACGGTCGTCAGCGTCGTCAGCGTAAAATACAACGACATCAAATACTGGAACTTGGGGTCCCGGATGTTCCAGCCGCCGCGGTCCGGCCCGGAGTCGCCGCCGTCCAAATACGCGGCCATCCACGTGTTTTCGATCGGCGCGCTGTTGTTGCCCACGTAGCCCCAGAGGCACGCGAGCCAGTGGGACGCAATCACAAAACCGCAGATCACCGACGCGATGTTCGACATGCCGATGGACATCGTGTTGTCGGATCGGTAGCGCAGCAACAGCCGCGACGTCCGGTACATCCTCAGCAGCTTCGTCAGCCGCAGCAGCCGCAGCAGCTTCAGCGCTCTCACTTCCCGCCCCGCCGTGTAGGGCCCCGCCAGCAGGCTCAGGTACCCAAAGGGGACGATGGACACGAAGTCCAAAGCGAACGCCGTCCGCAGGTAGTGGCGCGTGATCCCCCTGTGGTTCCGGATCCAGAAGCCGCCCTGCGACTCCGGCAGCTGGACGTGCGTGAAGAACTGGAGCATGACGTCGAAGACGAAAACGCTCCAGACGAGCAAGTTGCCCAGCGATAACAGAAACAACCCCCACCGGTCGCCCGTCGCCGACCACGCGTTGATGCGCCGCGCGAACGCGATCTCCGCGGGCGGCACGAGCACCGTGTAGACCAGCGCCAGCGACACGGTCACGTCCCACTGGTGCATGGCCCGGGACGCCAGCGGGTCGATCGTGAACTTGCCCACGCTGAGCTTGTCCAAACGATGCGCGATCTTCGTGTGCGTGAGCTGCGCGCGCTCGCGCGTGCCGTCGTAGAGGCCCTCGAGGAAGCGCTGCGTCTTCGACCGGCCCGCGCGGAAGATCTCGCTGCTCGGCGGGTACTTGGTCGAGAGCGTGCGCGTGAGCTCGAGCTTCGTCTCGGTCCAGCTCGCCCGGTGCTGCGCCATCGGTTTCCGTCGATGGGTTGCCGGTCGCTGTGGAATGCCTCGCCGGGAGCCGCGGCGCGGGCTGGGAAGCCGCAAGACGTTTGTCGGGGCTGCCCCCCAGCTGAAAAACTCTCGCGGCAGCGTCAGTGCAATAGCACGGCAGCATCCACCTGTGGAATGCGAAATTAGCATTGTTTTTGGAGCCACGATGTGTGCGATTCTTTGGGTCATTTGCGCGCTGGGGGCAGCGTCAACCGTGTCGTCGAATTCGCTCCGCACCGCCGATGGGGCCGTGGCATCGGACGTCGTCGCCGATGGGGCGTCGACGTTCCTGATCATGGCGGACTGGGGCGGCCAGGACGCGGCGCCCTTTTACACGCCCGCGGAGAAGAAGGTGGCGGCGAGCATGGGCAGCATGGGCGCGAACGCCTCCTTTGCCCTGGCCATCGGGGACAACTTCTACTACTCCGGCGTGGCAGACGTCGGCAGCGCGCGCTTCAAGGCGACCTTCGAGGTGACGCAGCCCGGCGTCTCTTTTTCCGGGATTCCGAACGAGACGCGTTTCTTTTTCCGGGATTCCGAACGAGACGCGTTTCTTTAGGACGTCTTCGACGACCCGAGCCTCGCGGCGCCGAAGTTCTTCAAGGTCGTCGCCGGCAACCACGACCACGTCGGCAACGTCAGCGCGCAGCTGGCCTACGCGGCGCCGGACGCGTCGCGCTGGCACTTCCCGGCGCTCTACCACGCCTTCGTCGAGACGGCGGCCGACGGGACGACGCTGGAAGTGGTGATGATCGACACGGTCGAGCTCGCGGGCGACTCGGGCGACGACCTCGCCGGCTGGCAACTGCCGGGCCCGGCGTCCCGGCTCCGCTCGGAGGCCCAGTGGGCCTGGATCGACGCGACGCTCGCGGCCTCCACCGCCTCCTACCTGATCGTCGCGGGCCACTACCCCATCCTGTCCGTCTGCGAGCACGGGCCGACGACGCAGCTGATCGACCGCCTCGCGCCCCTCATGGCCGCGGCGAACGCGTCGGCCTACCTCGCGGGCCACGACCACTGCGCCGAGTACCTCGAGCACTACGGCTTCGCGCACCACGGCGTCGGCGCCGCGCACCTCTACGACGCGTCCACGGCCCACGCGGCGGCCGTGCCGTCCGCGTCGCTCAAGTGGCACTACCTGCCGGGCGACGCGCCGTCGACGAAGGACGACGCGTCCCGGGGGGCCTTCGCCGCCGCGACGTGGGACGGCGCGAGCCTCCGCGTGGTCCACTACGACCAGGACGGCGCGGAGATCTTCGCCGCGCCGCCAGTGCCGCCCCGGGGCTCCTAGGCGCACAGGAAAACACGCTTAATAGTCGTCGTCGCTGTCGCCGGCGAGGCCGCCGCCGCCCGGGAACCCGCCCGGGACCACGCCCATGGTCTTGAGGTACGCCGCGAACGCGGGCGGCAGGCCCGCGGCCTTGAACTTCGCCGCGCCGCCGCCCGCGAACATCGGCGCGCCGCCGCCGACCGCGGGCGGGCCGCCGCCGGCGAAGCAGCCCGGCGCCGGGAGCCCCTTGCCCTTGCGGCTCCGGGGCAGGCCGTCGTCCGGCCGCGCGTTGCCCGCGGCCTTGGCGATGTCCGCGATGGCGCGCCGCAGCTTCTTCTCCGCGCGGCTCCAGTTCTGGCGGTCGACGAGGTAGCAGGGCAGGAGCTGGTCGCTGTCGAAGAAGACGAGCTGCGGGCAGCCGTCGGCCTCGTAGCCGAGGTGCGAGTCGAAGCCGGCGCGCTTCGGCTTGCCGCGGTCGTGCTTCTGCGTCGCCTTGTGCTGCTTCCCGGGCAACGCCAAACACGCGAAGACGATGGCGTCCTTCGCGTAGGCGAACGCGAGCTCGTGGCGCGTCGACGTGTAGATGCCGCGGCCGAAGTAGCCGTCGTCCGTGGCGTGCTTGACGTTGCGGCCGTCGGGCACGGCCAGGTTGCCGTCCATGATCTTCCGGAAGTTCGCGCGCGACGTGCCGTGGTAGACGATCGTGAGCGGCGTCGACCGCTCGCCGCGCCTCGAGCCGCTCCGCTTGACGGGCGCGCGCGCGAGCATCTTCGCCTGCATCTCGAAGAACTTGACCGCGTGGTCGAAGTTGATCGCCGTGTTCGTCGAGCTGAGGCCGTCCTTGCCGCAGTCGCGGAGCGACCCGGGGCCGTCCGTGTACCGCATGGCCAGGCCCATGGGCGTGCCGCCGTCGGGCACCTCCTCGTCCTTCGCCTTCTTCGCCCGCGCCGCGTCGTCGGCCTTCTTCGCCTGCTTCGCCTCGTCGGCCGCGAGCTTCCGGGCGACGTCGCCGTCGCGCCGCTCGTCGGCCGCGAGCTTCCGGGCGACGTCGCCGTCGCGCCGCTCGTCGGTTTTGCGCTTCTTCCGAGCGGCGGCCTCGAAGTCGCGGCGCGCGCGCGCCTGGTCCGCCCGGTCCCGCGCGGCGAGCTTCTCCGCGAGCGCCTTGTCGGTCGCCTCCTGCGCGCTCGGCGACGCCGCGGGCGCGCTCGTCGTCTTGACGAACTCGACGTCCGACGCGCGTTTCCGCTTCTTCGGCGGACTCAGGACCTGGACCTCGGCGTCGAAGCGGCCGGAGTCGCGCGTCAGATCCACGACGCCTTCGTCCTCGTCGTCGCAGAGATCGATAGTGAAGTCCGCCATTTGATCGGGGGCGGCGCGGCGCGCGCGTCGACGTCGTTCCTGGCGCCGGCGCCCACGACACCGGGGACGCGACCCGGCGCGTTCCGCCACACCGCCGCGGCAGCCGCCGCCGTCGCGACGCTCCTCGAGGCCTTCCTCGCACACCGTGCCCGCGCGCGCGTCCAGCGCATCGCCATCCACCGCACCGGCTCGACCATGGTCGACTGGTTCGAGGCGCTCTTCGGCTTCCCGGAGCGCGGTGCGGACGTGCAACAGGTGCTCGTCGTCGACGGCGACGAGCTGACGAGCCCCGTGAACGGCGCGCGCTACGGCATCGGCGTCTTCGGCACGCCGTCGCTCGGCGAGCTGCGCGCCGAGGTCGCGCGGCTCGCGGCGGCGCGCGAGCGCCCCGCGGGCGGCGCGTCGTCGTTCCGGAACGTGCTCGGCGACGCCGCGAAGTTCCACGGCGACAACCCGGGCGCGACGTTCCAGGTCGCGTCCCAGTTCAACTGCCTCGAGTTCGTCGGCCCGAACGTCGTGCCCGAGGACGGCGTCGCGGGCTACGCGCACGACCGCACGCAGGGGCCCTGCTGCGCGATCGCGTGCGGACCCGCGACGGTCTACCGCAACTACTTCGCGAACGTCGACGGCCAGGTCGGCCAGACGCGGGAGCGCCAGCTCGAGAATTTGGGCGACGTGCTCGACGCGCTGGGGCCCGTCGAGGGGTTCGACGTCCGGGGCGGCTACACGCTGGCCGACGACCGCGCGTTGGACCTTCTCTCCGAGAAGATCGGCGGCCTGGACGCGCGGGCCTACGACGACGTCTGCGCGAAGCTGCGCGTCGGCGTGCAGGTCGGCTGCCAGGTCACGGCGCTCGACTGGGGCCGCCGGCTCGTCGGCGACCGGGACCACGCGGTGACCCAGGTCTTCGGCAGCGCGTGCTCCGTCGCCTACTCGCGTAACGCGCCCGCCAAGTGGAAGCCCCTGGCGTCCCTCGTGCTCCGCGCGTCCTACGAGGCGACGCTGCTCGTCGCGGCGCGGAACGCGCTCGAGCGGCCCGACGACGCCGCCGCGCGGCGCGTCTACCTCACGGCCATCGGCGGCGGCGTCTTCGGCAACCCGCTCTCGTGGATCGGCGACGCGGTGTCGCGCGCGCTCGCGGCCGCCGACGCGTTGGCGGGCGTGCCCCTCGACGTGAACTTGGTGACCTACTGCGCGCCCGTGCCCCGGCCCTTCCTCGAGATCGCCGCGGCGCGCGAGGCGCGCGCGCCGCCGCCGAGCCGGAAGCGCGACCGGTCGCCCGCGCCCGCGCCGGCGACGGAGGCGCCCGCCGCGGCGACGCCGCCGCCGCCGCCGCCCGGCGGCCCCGACGTGTCCCTCGAGGCGCTCAAGTCCGACGCGCCGAAGCCGGACGTGAGCCTCGCGGCGCTCCTCGCGAAGGCGCGCGCCAAGGCGGCGAAGTAGGCGCTACGGCTTAATCTGCAGCAGGACGCAGTCGGGCAGGTCCACGGGCGCGTCGCCGAGGCCCTTGATGGGCTGCATGGCGCAGTTCCAGGGGAACGTGAGGCGGAGCGGCCCGCCGCGGACGGGCGTCTCGCCGTCGGCCTCGGTGTGGAGCAGGATGCCCTTCATGAGGTCCTTGCTCGAGATGGGCAGCGTCGTCAACGCCTCCTCGGGGTTCTCCGGGTCGTCGTCGCGCGACGTGAACACGGCGCCGGAGCACGTCAGCGCGAGCGACAGGAACTCGCCGGGGCAGGACGCGATCAAAGCGCCCATGGACGCGCCGAGCTTGCCCGTGTGCTTGCCCTCCGCGGGCGTGTGCGGCAGCTCCTTGAGCGTGGCCACGGGGATCTGCGCGGCCTTGCCGCCGGCGACCTGCGTGGAATTCGAGGTCCTGACCAAACTTCGCGCCTCTCTCGCTCGGTCACGTCGACGTCGTTTTGGCAGATTTTGGGACGATTCGAGTGCTCTCGTCGAGTTCTCGAAGCACGGCGGAACATATCGCGTCGAAACGGTCGCGTAGGCTCACATTGAAGTCGGGTTGAAGATGCCGCGCGGCCCGCGACGATCGTGAAGACGGGCTTCCCCGACTCGTACGCGGCGCCCGCGTCCTCGGCCATCTTCGTCGCCAGCGCCGCCAGCTCCGCGGCGCTGGGCACCTCGAGGGGCCGCCCGCCGTACATGCCCCGCGCGAGGCCCCGGACCTGCGCGACGCCGCTCCCCTGCGCCTCGTAGAAGCCCTTGTGCCGCCGCGCGAGCGGGGGCGACGACGGCGGCAGGTCGCAGAACCGGGCTTTCGAGACGACCCAGCCGTACATGGGCGAGCCGTCCCAGCCGCGGGCGTAGTCCGTCTTGTCGATGCGGTGCTTCGCCGCGTCGCCGTCGAACGCCTTCTCGGAATCGTACTCGAAGCACGACTCGAAGACGACGAAGCCGACCTGGGCGGGAAAAGGGTGATTCAACGTCGCTTCAACGTGAGTGGTCCGCGCGCGCGCGTTCCGGAAAAAGCATCCACGCTTCGGGACCGTTCCGAGAGATGATCGCTCGTCCAAAAATCAGCCGAAACGAGTGGAAAACGGCCGAGAGAGGAGCCTTTGACGTTGGAAATGTCGCGCTCTTTTGCTGCCCTGAAGCCGACGAGCAGGCCCGCCCCCTGGTCGGGCGCCTCGCCGAGCGTCGACAGCCCGGGCTCGTCCTTCGTCTCGAGGACGGCGACCTCGACGTTCGTGGCCCAGCTCGGCAGCTCGTAGCGCCGCGTCTCCACCGTCTTGCTGCCGTCGGCGAGGTACCGCGCCATGGGCTGCTGCACCTCGAGGCACAGCGGCTTCGACGGGTCCGCGAGGCCGAGCACGTCCCACGCGCTGTCCTCGGCGAAGCTGGCCATGAGTGTCTACTTGGGGCAGCCTCAGCGCATCGATTCGAACCCCCTAAACTGGTTTGTTGCCGTGCGCTTGAGAACGACAACATCTCGAAGCTTTCTCGGGCCGCGTCACACCGTCCGCTCGAGCTCTGCGTCGAATCCTGTGTCGTTGCGGCGGTCGCGAGCGCCGTGAGGGGCGCGCTGGGCGCCCTCGCGCATACATCGCAGCCATGCGGCGCCTCGCGCTCGCCGCGCTGCTCGCGACCATTTCCGCGCTCAGCCCCTCCACAGCAAAGATCGCCGCGCAGCAGCAGCGGCTCAACTCGTTGACCGGCTTCAACGCCCTGGTGCTGAACGCCGACTACCAGCCCCTGTCCTTCCTCCCGCTCTCCGTGTGGAGCTGGCAGGACGCCATCAAGGCCGCGTGGCAGGGGCGCGTGGACGTCGTCGCGGAGCACGACGTCACGATCCGCTCCGCGTCCGCGTCCTTCGCGGTGCCGTCCGTCGTCGTGCTGCGCAACTACGAGCCGAGATCCATCAAGGCGCCCCGCTACTCGAAGCGGCTGCTCTTATTGCGCGACGGCTACTGCTGCCAGTACTGCCGGCAAAGATTCCACTCGTCGCAGCTGACGGCGGACCACGTGATCCCGCGCGCGGCCGGCGGCAAGAGCTCCTGGGACAACGTCGTCGCGTCCTGCATGCCCTGCAACCACAAGAAGGGGTCGTTGCCGCCGAACAAGCTGAAGCACGTCGGCATGACGCGCGCGGACGACCCCTTCGAGCCGTCCGCGTACCAGCTCGAGGCGAAGGCGCGCCAGTTCTGCCTCGCCAAGTACAAGCGCGCCGACATCCCCGAGACCTGGGACGCCTACCTCCGCGAGGCCATCGACGCCGCCGACGACGCGTTCCAGCACGACGCGCCGCCGCGGACTCGGCGCGGCAAGGCCGGCAAGGCGCACCACCTGCCGGCCCTGGCCAAGCCCGCGCCGGGCGTCGTTTTGAGCTCGCGGTAGGCGGGACCGCGCGCGGGCGGGCGACGACGCGCGCGTACACTATACATAGAAGAGTATGAGTTTTTTAGCGGCACCCCTACGGGCCGCGCGTCGTCGTCGTCGTCGCCGCCGTCGAGGAAGCGTCGCCGCCCGCGTCGTCGCGTTCCGTCGCAAGCAGCAGCAGCAGCGGCGGCGCGGAAACGTCGTCGTCGTACGCCGCGCGCCTGAGTTCGTTCGAAACGCGTCGCCCGAAGAGAGAAAAACACCTGCGAAATTTCCAAGAAGAAGCGACGCGAAACCCCCCTAGGCCCGAAGCGTGCCGCCGGAATGAAGAGTAACCGCAGCAGATCCCAAGGGAAGCCGTCAGCCATTCCGCGGAGAACCCAGAAGGAAAGGAGCGAGGAATTAAGCGAGAAGAAACGGGGGAGTCCAGTCGAGCGAGGGGAAGTCAAAACGTGGCGCACCGAACCTCGTTGGGAAAACACACTGTTGTAATTGTCGGCATCTGTCCCAGCATCATTGTCGGAGATCTATAGGTCGTCGTCGGAATCGTCGTCGGAATCGCTCTCGTCGAGGGGCCGCCACTGGCGCCCCTCGCGCCGCCCGGGCGTGACGACGACGTTCAGCCGGCGCGCCGAGGCCAGCGCCGCGCGCCGCAGGGCCTCCTCCGCGAGGTCTCTCTGATCCGCCGCAAGGTCTCTCTCGATCGGGGCTGCCTGGGTGTCCGTTTCCATCGCCTCGGTCTGCCACATGCTGTCGTCCTCGACGACGGCGGGCACGGGCGTCGACGCGCGGGTCGCGGGGGCGAAGGGGGACATGGCGTCGTCGGCGGGGCGCTTCGCGCAGCACGGGCGGGACGTCAGACGACGACGACGATGTTCGCGAACGCGCTTTGCTTCCGATCGCCAGACGATGCTGCTGGCAACGAGCAGCCATATTGAACCGCCAGAACCCACGCTGCCCCGGCGATTCGGCTCTCCGGCTGCGCGTCGAGCAGCGTCCTGCGGCCGTGACGACTTTCGAGAGATTCGACCGGGAAAACAAGGAAAATTTGTCACTGACGTTGCCTGGTAGGCGTCGAGAACATGGGCAGCGACAACGCCAAGCGCGCGAAACTGCTCTCGCAATGGCCGGCTGAAAAGCTCGTAGTCTTGCCGTTGATGTTCGCCATGCTCCTGTGCACGGTCGGGATCGCCATCGCCCAGTACGAGATGAGGCAATAGAAACGGATGCCTGGCATTGCGCTCTCGTTCTCGGACGCGATCGCGCGTGTTGCCACGCGCGCACCGCCGCGCCGCGCGGCGCGCCCGCTAAGAGTCGCGGTCGTCGCCGCGCCGCTCGGACGCCCCGCGCCGCTCGGACGCCCCGCGCGTCGCCCGCTACGTGCTACGCGCCATTAAGCCGCCGCTTGCCCAGCGTCGCGCACTTGGCGTCGGCGCGCTTGGCGTCGGCGCGGGGGTCCGCGGCCGCGCGCCGGTGCTCGTCCGCGGCGTAGTGGAAGAGGTCCGCGAGCGCGCCGTCGACGTTCGCGCCGTAGTAGGCGACGTCGTGGGCGGAGACGAGGTGGTAGCGCGTCGTCTCGGACGCGTAGCGCTTCAGGGCCGAGCCGCGCGACGTGCCCTCGCCGCCGCCGTGGCCGCCGCCGAACTTGGCCGCGTCGCCGACCATGTCGAAGTCCTTCTTCAGGCGCCCGCCGGCGCACGCGCAGACTTCCCGGATCGTGTTCTGCGGGTCGAAGAGGAGGTCCTCGTAGCGCACGATCAGGCGCGGCAGGGTCGCGTCGTAGTACTCGCGGTACCAGACGTTCCAGAGGTCGAGGAGCGACGCGTAGACCTCCTCGGGGTGCTCCTTCCGGAACTTCACCGTCACCTTCGACCGGTTGTGGCCCAACAGCTCGCCGAGCTGCGCCGGGTCCAACGGCGACGGGCAGCAGGCCGGGTGCTTGCGGAAGTGGGCCGCGTAGGCGATGCGGCACATGGACCGCATCCACGTGATCGGGTCCTTGACGACGGCCACGGGCAAGATCTCCGTCAGATTAAAATGGTCCAGCGAGTCGACGACGTGGCCTAAATTCCGGTAGGCGAGCGGGTTGTGCTTGCCCCAGGGCGCCTGGAACGGGTAGCCGATGCACTCGCGGCGCGCCATCGCCTCCGTCTTCCTCTTCTGCCCCCACTCCCCGGGGCAGGCCAACGGCATGACGCAGTTCTTTCGTAATAAATTCGTCATCAGATTCGTGCCGCTGTTGAAGATGCCCGCCGTCGCCGCGCGCCGGAAGAGCGACGTCGTTTCGCGCCAGCCGGCGCAGCGGTCGAGGCCGACGATGCGCGGGCCGTCGCCGTACATGGCCGGCAGCTCCGCGCGGCGCCGCGGCGGCGGCGGCGGCACGCCGGCGCCGGGAGACGGCGCCGCCTCCTCGAGCTCCTCCGCGGCGTCCAAACCGCCGGGCAGCGGGCCCCGGACGCGATCCTCGAAGATCTGCCGCGCGTAGACGCGCTCCGGCTCCGTCGGCAGCGCCGCGAGGAGCGCCTCCTCGGCGTCGGAGAGCCGCAGGGAGCCCGGCGGCGGCCGCGGCGCCACCGGCGGCGGCGGCGGCCGCGCCGCGGCGGACGCGCGCCGGTCGTGGGACCGCGCGTGCAGGCCCATGCTCACGACCTGGAAGCCGAGCAGCCCGACCACGGCGCACTGGAGCGTGCCCACGCGCCGCGGCTTTACCTGGTCCTCGGCGGCCGGCCGGCCGCGAAACGACGGCTTAGCTAGCCCCATTAGAGGGCGAGCAGCCATCGTCACGAGCGCCGAGGCACAAAACCGACGTTGCCGAGGCCTTGAACTCACGGCACCTATTTCGTGCTGGCCGGGGGTGGAGCTGAAGTGCGGACAGTGTCCGCACTTCAGGATGAGGCACGGACAGGCCAAGTCTTGCGATGTGTGCGCCCCCTGGAGGCCCACCGGCGGTCACACCGTGTCCTAGGGGTTCATATGGACGCCGCTGACCCGCGGCGCGCTGCAATTCGGTGCCGGCGGCGCGAGCCGCAACGGTTTCGGACCGAGCGCGACGCCGTGGCGCCGGGGCCAGAGCGGCGCCCGCCGACGCCGTGGACCGTACCCGCGCCCCACACACGCCCACCGTATGTTAATCGACGCGCTCCGCCGAAAGATCGTTGGAAATCGCTGGGAATCCGGCCGCGGCGCGCCGCGAACTCGCTCCGCCGTAGCGCGACACCGTGGCGCCGAGGGCCAGGGCGGCGCCCGCCGACGCCGTGGACCGTACCGGCGGCCCAGACACGCCCACCGTATGTTGTTCGACGCGCTCCAACAACAAATTGTTGGAAATCGCTGGGAATCCGGCTGCGGCGCGCCGCGAACTCGCTCCGCCGTTGCGCGAGGACGCGCCGCTCGGCCGTCCGCGCGCAATTTTGCGTCGACCGATCACCATCGCTGTGTTCCGCCGGACGCATCGGCATCGTGGAGCTCGTCGAGGGCGACCCTCGCGGTTTTGGACGACCGCGCGCCGCGCGACACTCGCCGAGATCGTCGCGGCCGAGAACGAGCGGACGGCCACCGCGGCCCTGATGCGGCCGCGTCCGCGCCTCGCTCGGGGCCTCTGTCGGTCGCGCGTCCATCGCCAGTTACGAACGTCGCCGCGGGTTGCTGGGCAGATGCAGAGAGAGCCTTTTGGCACGCCCAGGGTCCCAAAACGGCTGTATTTTCACCTAAATTCATGCCAATATGGCTCGTTTGAGCGGCAGCTTGGCCCAGCTGGCTTTCTGCCAGCCCCGTTGTGTTTCTCCTACCTACGCCCCTGGAGCCTCGCGGCTCCTCCTGGGCTTGCTGGTCGCAGGCCAGCTACTTTTTTTGGCCAAACAGGCCAATTTTGGGCATCTTCTCAGCACAGGACCACTCATGATGATGGTGCTTCGGTACTACTCTCACGGAGTTCGAGGGACGCAGCAAGGTCCCCACCTTCTTTCTTTTACGCCTCCGGCGCCTTCGGCGCCTCTTCGGCGCCTCCGGCGCCGTTCCGGCGCCTTCGGCGCCGGTTTTTTTCTTTTTTTTTCCTCTTTTTTTCTCTTTTTTTGGTCTCTGCCAGCATGAAAAAAGTGCCGGACTTTGGCGGCGGCCAATGTCTGCGCGCAGTGCCCCCATCTGAGCGCCGCAACACCATGCGCCTGGAAGAGGACGACCTCCTCTCCGAGATCATGGCGGAGGAGGCGTCGGAGCACGCCTTCCTCGCCGACGTCATGGGCGAACCGCCGACCCTGTCCATGCCGCCGACGCGCCTCAACGGCCGGCGGACCCCGCCGAGTCCGCCGGCTTCGAAAGGCGGCTGCTGGGACGAGGTGCTGCGCCTCGGCGCGTCGCGGCGCGAGCTCGGCGGCGTCGTCGCGCGGCGCCTCGACCGGTGCGCCGCGCAAGCCAAAGCCGCCCTAAAAGAGGCGACGTCGAGCGACGAGCTCCGCGCGGCGCTCCACGGCGTCGGTCTCGCGGCCCAGGCGGCCGGCGACGCGGAGCGCGAGCGGCGCGCCCTCGAGGACGAGAGCGACGCCATCTTCGCGCGGCTCGGGCGCCCCGTCGACGGCGACGGCGACGGCGTCGGCGCGTGGGCGGGCCGCGAGCAGTTGACGGCCGCGCGCGACAAGGGCCGCGCCGAGGGCCGCGCCGAGGCCCTGGACGCCCTGGGCGAGCGCGAGCGCCTGCGCGTCAAGTGCGACCTCTACAAGGCTCGCGTCGCGGAGCTCGAAACCGAGCTCCGGAAAACGACGCCGCCGCCGTCGCCGGGCGCGTCGAGCGACGGTTTTCGGGATGTCGACCTCGGCGGCGGCGCCGCCGACGCCGAGCTCCTCGCGCGCTGCGAGAGCGCCGAGGGCCGCCTGGCCGCCCTCGTGGGCACGGAGCGGTTCCAGCGGCTCCGGGCGATGGAGACGGAGCTCGAGGAGCGCGACGAGACCATCGCGGCGCTGCGCGAGGCGCTCGACGTCGCCGCGGCGCCGCGGGAGGTGCCCGCGCGGACGTCGCCGCGGCGGTCGCCGGAGCTCGCCATCGACGGCCGGGGCGGCTTCTCGCCGCCGGCGCCCGCGGCGAAGCGGCCCGAAGGCGCCGCCGACGGCGGCGCCGCGCGCGAGGCCGCCGCCGCGCCGGCGGACAGCATCCGGGCGCTCGCCGCCGCGCCCCGCGCCCGGGAGATCCCGCGGGACGGGGCCGCCGGGCCGCCGCCGCCGGCCGCGCCGCCGCCGCCGCCCGCGCCGCCGCCGGCTTCGGACGCGTCGCGCGCGCCGCCGACGCCGACGTTCCGGGGGCTCATGAAGTCGACGTCGGACGTCGACTGGGACGACGCGTCCGACGGCGCGCCGAGCGCGCCGGCGACGCCCGTCGTCCGCGTGCCGGCGAGCCTCGGCCACCTGCTCCGGCCGGTGCCGGCGAGCGCGACGCACCACCGCGTCATCCAGCTCGACCCCGAGACCTTCATCGTCTAAAAAACGACCTTTTACACAGCGACACCACCCCTAGCGGCGCTCGTCGTCGTCCTGCATGTTGATCTCGTCGTCGTAGCCCGCGGAGTTGTCCGAGCTCGCGCCGGTGATGTCCTCGCCCGCGTCGTCGCACGCGGGCCAGTGGATGAGGGAGTCGTAGACGTAGGGGTAGTCGTCGTTGGACGGCGACATGAACTCGTAGAACTCGTAGTTCGTGTACGTCTCGTTGTTGCCGAGGAAGTTGCCGAAGGGCAGCAGGTCGTCCTCGCGGTGGCCCGGGCACGTGCCCTTGGAGCACACGGGCATGTCGAGGTCGCTCTGCACGTTGGACCAGTCGCAGACGACCTTCGTGTCCGACGCCACGTTGGACACGGCGTGGTCGTAGCCCCAGGTCTCGTCCAGATAGGTGTCCATCGCGTAGTACTCCTTCCGCTTCAACGCCACGAAGCGGTCCGCCAGGCCGTGGAGCGGCCAGAACGTCGGGTCGTAGGGCGCGGCCGACGTGAACATCTCGCCCGGGTGGCCCACAGAACAAATAGCCTTCATGACCTTCTCGAGGTCGCCGTTCGCCGTGCCGAGCCAGTCGTCGATGAACATGGAATTAAACACGTCGAGCCCGGACGTCTCGTAGACGCCCGCGTAGCCGCCGTACTCCTCGAGGATGGACGCGGGGCACTCGCAGGTGCAGTCGGCGTCGGGCGTGTCCAGCGAACAGTAGGCCGGGCAGCGCACGTAGCCCTGGCGCCACAGGAACTTGGAGGACAGCAGGAACTCCTGCGCGCCCATGCCTAAGGTCGCGTTCGGGTAGACGTTCCAGTGGCCGCCGAGCATGATGTGGATCTGGCCGTGGAGGATGCCGTTGAGGTAGTTGTTGATCAAAGCGATGGTCATGGAGTTGTACGCGTGGCGGAAGTGCTTGCAGCTCGGTAAGGTGTAGCCCGCGTCCTTCATGCCCACCGTGTAGCGGTAGCGCGTCACGTAGGGCGTCGGGTTCGTGTTCCAGGGGGAACGGAGTAATCCATACGGGTTGTGGACGCTCGTCGACGGCTCGGCCTTCTTCTTGACGGGCGTGAAGGCCCAGGGGCCGTTCGAGACGACGTGGGATTCGGTCTCGGGCGACGCCTGGCCGAACCAGTCCTCCTGGAACATCTGCGCCTGGGTCCAGTCGTCCAGCAGTTCGTCGAGCGTGTAGTCCCAGTAGGGCACGGTGATGGTCTCGTCGATGGCCTGGAGCGACTGCTCCATCAGGAGCGTGAACGCGATGTGGTGGACGACGAAGCCCGCGTCGTCGTGCCAGTGGTCGCAGGCCTTGTCCGCCGCGCCCTCGAGGTGCGTCGCGACGAGCTCCTCCATGCTCAGGTACTTCTTGCCGAACTGCTTGCGGCCGAGCTCGCCCTCGGTCGAATACATGATGCGCATCGCGGACAGGAACTGCTCCCGGTCCCGCTGCTTGAGGTCGTAGATGGACCGGCGCGTGAACTTCGAGAGCAGGTCGATCTTGAAGGCCTTGCCGTTCTGGAGGCGGCGCGCCGGGTCCGCCGACGTCGCGCGGACCTCGAGCGTGTGCCTGCCCGTCTTCGTGAGCGTGAGCTCGGGCGCGGCGCCGGCGTGGGTCGTCGCCTCGCCGTCGGGGTTCGTCAGGACCCACTCGTAGGCGTCGCCCGTCGCCGACCCGGCGACGCCGCCGACGACGGCCTCGAAGACCGTCGGCCGGTGGATCTCGATGACGTTCTTGAGCGGGTAGCCCTCGGCGACGGGCCGGCCGGCCTCGCGCTCGTACTCGTTGGACCAGGCGAAGGTGACGTCGCTCGAGTCCTCGTCGTTGGCCTTGGCGACGTGCCAGCCCCGGCAGCTGCTCGTGAGCTGCGCCTCGAGGGCGCTCGCGTCCTCGGCGTGCTG